AATTATTCACCAAGTGATTATCTGAATATTAAATTTAATTGATTGAATGAATATTCAGTGGGTACAACCTCTATTATTAAATATAAATGAATTAAATTATTAAATGTAAATGTAAACGTAAATGTAAATAAATGTAAAATGTAAAATGTGAATGTGTATATATATATATATATAATATTAACAAAAATAATTTTATTAAATAAATGCATGTATAATATCTATATATTTATATAATAATTTTTCATTTCTTTAAAATCCTATAGAAATCATCAATACATAACCAATTGTAATTACTGAAAATAATCCAATTAAAGAGCCTGGTACACCAGATTTTAGGAAATCATATGTAGTCAAGTATCGAACACCCATATCATCTTCCATCATAATCGCATTCATATTAGGAAACCCTGATACTGGTAATCCCATTGATAATGAGCATGTTAGTGCTGAACCCTGTTTAAATGTAATAAAGGAATGTTATTATTATTATTGTAAAATTATTTTTAAAAAAAAAATAAAATAATAATTACCATTACTAATAGATTTGGATGTGAATCACTTAATTGACGACCAACTTCTGCAACGATAGGTAAAATGATAAGAGCAGCCACAGTGTGACTGATAAATGTTGAAAAGACAAGTACTAGAATGGCGAAAACCACTAAAACTTGCCAAACCCCAAAACCATTAACCATAGCCTGAATATTTTTAGCTATAAAGTGTAATAATCCTGAACTATACACTGCCTTTCCAAGTGCAATACCACCCATAGCAAGTATAATCACTGTCCACAAGAAATTATTGAAATCTTCTTTGGTCAAAATACCTGTTCCAAAAAATAAAACCAACGGAACTATTGCTATAATCCCCATATCACCCAAAAAATATTCCAACTTCTTTTCAACACACCATAAAACAATCGTTATAATGGTAACTAGTATCACATAAATTTGTGATCCTGTTAATGGGTCTTTGGAGGTTCTTATCGGATGGATCATTAGATTTTTTGTTGACTCATAATTCCAAAGAAGCAAGGCCCATATCAAAACATCTACAATTATGCACAAGGGTATTGCCACAACAAACCATTGAATCCATGTTGGTGAAGGATGCATGTTTTCAATTGCTATTATATTTTGAGGAGATGATATGGGCGATGCCATACCACCTACATTTGATGCCAATGCAATACCAATAATCAAACAACGTCCAAATGATACGTTTGATGGTAGATTTCTAAGAATAGGTTGTATCAATGAAAAGCACAAAACAGGCGCTGCAACATTACTTATCCACATACTGGCAAATGTCGCAACAAACATATTAGCCAACAATACAAAACTAGGTTTTGTACCAGCATTTGATAAAACAAACGTCGCCATCATTTTTGCTATATGGTATTTGCTCAACGCTCCTGCTATAGCAAATCCGCCTAAAAGTAACATTATCACTGGCGAAAACATTGCCGCAAAGATTTGTTTGGTTGCTGAATGCGCATCAAGACGTGTTTTACCATCATCAGAACGTAGAACACGTAAACATACCACCAATAATGGAATTAGCAGTGATGTTACAAAAAGTGGCATAACCTCTGTAGACCATAAAAGACTTGCAAATACCAATAAAGCAAAACAATTCCTTTGTTCCTCATGTTTAAAAATTGGAAAATTTAGCAATAGAAGAAAAATTATAATGCACATTATCAGTATAATCATATTTTTACAAAATATGTCATTTATAGTCAAATTTCCAAATGGCGTTGATATTTCAGGCGGTGTTTTAATTATATTCCCTGGTGCTTTAATATTAACAGCATGACTCTTTCTTTCCAATCCAATGATATCTCTCCATATTGTATTTCTTTCCCAAACAATAAATTCTCTCAGATGAGTTTTAAGTTCATTGATGGCAGCCTCTCTATCAGCATTTGTATAGAAGTTTGAATAGATTTCTTGTACTCTAAGAATTTCTGACTCGAGCCTTTCACGTGTCGATCTCTTGAATGCATAAGACTCATTGACAACATTTGTTAAATAGTGAAATTTTAACTTACACCCAATAATTTTCTCGTATTTCTTCAATATTTTTGAAAACCCTGTCTCATTAAGTGACACGAATGATTTTAGTTCAGATAGATGTACAAAAAGTTCAATAACATGTCTTTTAAAAGCTATTTTTTGTTCTTCAACAGTTGGTGGTCCCCATAAAAAAGAAACTCTGCGATCATCAAAAGAAGCTCTACGATTACCACCATTATTATCATTATCACCATCAACTGAAAACCTTATACGACCAGGTTCATCACAAATTTCCCCCTCCCCTACATCATCACTACTAATAAATGAGCCAGTTGCATCGGAAACAGATCGATTTCTTCTGGATTGTTGAAAACTTTTTCTTTGATGATGTGAGGAGACCTCCCGACCATGAATATATGAAGACTGCGAGCCATCAGTTGATGCATAAGATCTACTTAGATTATTGAGATTAACACTTGCACTATCTTCAAGATTTTCTATACATGCAGCTTCACCAATAAGTTTATCAACATTTTCGTAAAGTTCCTTTTCTTTATTACAATAGAACGTGTTTATTTTTGCTAATTCTTTATCTAGTGCTAGTGTGAATATTGGATTGGTTTTGGTTTTACCAACTAATAAAGGTGATTGTTCAGTTATTCCAGCTTCAGTGTCAGTTGAAGTCGAAGTTACAATTATATCTTTTTCAAGTTGATAAACAAGCTTTTTTAAATTTGAATATCTATTGAGATAAAAAAAGTTAAGGATAAGTTTGATCAATCGACCTTTTAATTTTGTAATAATAAATAAATGATTTATTGAATCGACATTAATTATTCTTTGTTTCAGAACAGAAATAATATATCGAAAGGATACGCAATGTAATGGTCAGCCCAATCAGGAACTGCGTTAAATTGTATTGAATGAGAAAACTTCATTCTAAAGTTCTAAAAGTGAAATTTGTTCTTGAAAATTTTTAACGTATATAATTGATAAAATTTTTTCAGAAAAAAAAAACGTAGTATTTTTATAATAATAATAATATAGATATGATAAATCAAAAAGCCAAAAAAAAATCATAATTAGAGTTTGGTTTAAACTTATCATTTTATCACGTTTTCGATCCAACCTCTTAAATGGTACCAAAAAATTCTTCTGACTATATTAGTTCATCTATCAAAATGAGTGAGCCTCGTTATAAAGAAGTGTAACATAATAATATTTCTAATAACGAATTTTATATGTGAAGGAACCAATATTTGCTTACCAAAAATAATATTTGCCCCTCAGGCCTGCAGCCCATGCGGATAATTCCCGAAATGTTACACCATTATCCCTCAATTCGTAGGGATAGAGCCTCAGCCTGGAAAACATATTATTACTTTTCTTTCTATATAGAAAATCTTTTGGGGTGGTTTTATTATCTAATCACTAAATTTGGAACAAGATACAAGATAGATGATCTCTGCCACCCCACATAAAGCATGCAACAGCTCCTCTGATCAGATCAGATACCTAACCAATATGGAATTTTACATCTTCTCAAGATTTACAGCAAAATTGAACAGAAAAAATTTCTCTAAAGTACAAATGTGGTACCATTTTCGAATAGCCATAGCTTTACATAAATAGTTCCTTTTGATATAAAAAAATATTCATTAAAAAGCTTTAATGATGTAATTTGAAAATAATGAACTGTTTTAAAGGCATTGCCAAGATAATAATACTGATTATATATGTCTATCGTTATAACAATAACAAGTTCGATTGTATTGTGTCGTTCCGTATTAATATTTAAAAATACCGCAACCGCAGCATATTGAATTTTTCTAGATCAGAGTTTTTGATTGTTATAATGAAAAACCAAAGAAAATGGTGAGTTAGCAGCAATTAGTTTGGCATTTAATATGTCATTCATAAATTTACTAAAGATGATATATTTCATTGATGTCGAAATCACAAAATAATATACAAATCAGCCGGCAATTAATTATCAAAGATTATAAGATCTACCACATTTATTGAAAAAAACGGATCAAAGGTACTTTTTAAATTAAAAAGGCTCGATTTTAACATATGGTTATTTCTTAAAAACACCAGATCAACAAATAAAGAGATTTGGCCAAAAAAGTCATACATTTTCATTTTCTTCCGTCATCTACATTAGATACAAATATCATTTCAAGAATAAAAACAGACCATCAACAAAAAACATATTCCTGTTCTTTCTTGAGTTTCCTTATCTAAAATAAATTATGATGTTTAAAGTAAAAAGAAAATTTGATATAATTTCTAAGAAGAATAGATAGGCAGAATAGAGAGATATATTGTTTTTTTTTAATTTCTACTGCATATCATTCCTCATAGTGACATTCTTGAAAACTTGGTAATTTTTTTTTTTAAATTTATAGTCTAACAAGTCTAATACCACTTACTTTGCGAACTCTCTGATAAAGGTTTAAAGCAATTAAAGGCCGTGTAGTATAGATATGGAGGGTGTGCATTTATTTTTAAGTCTCGAGTTTTGGAATAAGACATTTGTACTTATTATACAAAAGGTTATAATAATACTACGAAAATTATTAGCCACAAGGGAGGGGACCCTTCCTATAATAAGCCACACAAACATGGATATTTTTTGAATTTTCATTTTCTCAAAAATTTATTATGGATTTCAATCTTCCAGCAGATTGTTTACATGATATATTTGAAATATTGGACAAAAAATCATTGTTTTCATGTTTATTAGTTAACAAATATTGGAGTAAAATAATTATACCAATTCTATGGAAAAAACCATTTCCAACAATACATAATAATAATCATAACCATAATAATAGTAATGAAAATATCTTTAAAAATAATAGTAGTAATAATAATAACAACATCAATAATAAAACAAATAATTTAATTAAACAAATTTCTTATACTTTAATATTATGTCTACCAACTGATTCGAAAATAGAACTGATAAAAATTGGAATGAGACTTTCATTTCCAATAACGCAAAAACCAATGTTTAACTATATAAAATATTGGCAATACATTTCTCAGAAAGATGTCAAACGAATAGTTGAACATGTTGTCATCGTTAATAATAAACAAAGTACAAAAAACACTAATAGTAGTGGCAATGTTGTAAAATTAGCATATAATTTAAATTTGGTAGAAAAATTGATTTGGAAAATGATAATGATGCAAAGTGACGGGTTCAAATATCTTAATCCACCAGATGAAATCCCAATCACATATTGTCCTGGTTCATTATTATGTCTGTCGAACCTGTATGAATTGGAATGTTCATCAAAATATTCAGAAACTTTATTACTTGGTTTGGCTCACGTTTGTCAGAATATTTATCGGCTGACGATAAATCCATGCGAGGACAATGAGAATAATGGATTGTTTGCATTGATAGAACAGCAAAACTCTTTAAGAGAAGTCAAATTGGTGTCACCAAAAGGTTCTATTTGTAAACAGATTGGAAAATCATTGGCGAAACAAGCAACATCTCTAACCAATTTCACTTGTCAAAAAAATATTTGTTTAACCGAAGAGGCAATGTCAAAACTGGTAAATATTAGAGAATTGGATCTGATATTGGGCAGAACAAATCTAAAATCAAATTCATTGGAACTGGCAAAATTCGCAAAATTGAGAGTTCTAAATATAAATCATCAGTATCGGACTGCATTGCATCATTACACCAAAATAATAGAGACAACTGAAGGTGATCTGGAAAAAATAAATTTTGATTTTGGTTTATTTCCATGTATTGAAGAGATTCAACGATACATACAAGTAGTAACTGAGAATTGTCCAAATTTGAAATTTGTAACTATATGGTTTACGGGTCAAGAACTAAATGATATTGAAAGGTTGCTGATAATTTGTAATAAGTTGCAAACAATCAAAATTGAAGCTGTAACTTATGATTTATCAACCAGTGTGACATGGAAAGTTGACATAAAACCAATATTTGAATTATTGACTAAAACTTCAAAGAATTTTCAAGAACTCATTATTAGTAAATGGATCTTTACGCCATTGGAACTTAACGAATGTTTGGAAATGTGGAGAGGTAGAAAGCCTTTAACTTTGAAAATTCAACGGAAAACACAAGAGCACATTCAAGTCTGTAAGAAATTTTTGAATGAAGGTGTCCTAAAAGGATTCTCATGATCTTAATTGGGATAGAAATAAGGATGGAACTGAGGTTTGAAATTGAAAGGAAGATAATAATGGATTATGAAGATAGTGAAAGGTTCATCAGGGAAGAAAGATTAATAATTCACTTCTTTTAAAGGGAGTTATGATTAACACATCCTCCCAATTCAATCAATCAATCAACTATTAACCATTCTTCTGTCATTCTCGTTATTATCACATATCATCATTATCATCATCATTCTTTCCTAGAAAAATTATATTTAAAAATAGTGATATTTTTTTCTACAATAATAAATCTTCTAATATGCATAATGATACTTTTCCTTGAAAATGAAGGCGATATAACTAGTAATGATAAATAATAATAGTAATAAACTTAAAAATATTATTAATTAATCAATTCTTTAATCATAACTTGTCACCATGCATTAAAATTTTTTTTTTATAATTCAAAGATTTAGTTTATTTTGAACTTTTTTTTAATTTACTTGATTTTTTTTAATTTATCAAATTTTTTTATTTGAAAATAATAATAATAATAGATTTCAAAGATGAAATTAAATCAAATTATTTTTATTTACATATTTATATATATATATATTTCATCAATCCATCGATCCATTTATTTTTTCTAAGAAATAATAAAATTATAATAGTAAAAATGAATAATAATAATAATAATAATAATAATAATAATAATAATAATAATAATAATAATAATAATAATAATAATAATAATGATCTTAATTACAATGATGATAATGATAATGATTCAACATTAACTAATAGTAGTTATGAAACAATAAAAGGTGATTATGTAGATAACAATCATCGTTATTATAATGAAGATGGACAAGAAATAGTTACGGAAAAAGTTGATGGCGGTGGAGATGATGATGATGATGAATTAATTAGAAATTCATCTTTAGAATCTGATTTTATGGTTTTTTTAACTCAAGGCTCATTAATAAATTACAACTATAATGATAATTATGATCATGATCATGATTATGGCTATAAAAAGAAGAAAGAATCTATTGCAAAAGAAAATTCTACATCTAAGTTAAAGCCGCCATCTAAATTACTAACAAATCCAACAAAAAATATTACAAAATTACTGTCACCACCAATAGAAAACGAAGGTATCAAACTCGAATCAGAAAACTGGATTACTTGTAGGCATGATACACTTAGAAAAATAGACAAATTTCTACAACGTGACAAGTTAATACTAGTTAGATCACCACCATTTACTGGCAAAACATCATTATGTTTTCTTTTGGAAAATTATTATTGTAAACTAAAAATTCCCGTGGTACATGTTTGTTTTCTAGGTGTACAAGATTATCGTGATTTTGAAAAATTTTGGATCAATGAAACATCAAAAAGTTGGAAATACTGGTTGGACCCGAAAAAACATTGTGGTGAACTCGTTATTATTCTAGATGAAACTCAATTGATATTTAACAATAGGAAATATGAAGATTTTTGGTCTAGAGTTAAATATTTGTCTAGACTATCGTCGTCATCATCATCAACTATACATAAAAAAAAATCATTGATAAAAGTCATTGCCTTTTCAACTGTTGCTTCGATTATAATTAATCCTAATACTGACGATATTAATAACGATAGATCATTGATAGGTGGTAGAACCACTAGAAATAGTAGTGGTAGAGTTAGTAATATTACACAAAGTCCAGTTGATTTCCAAAATAAATTTGGATTTGAATTGATAAGGTGCACAAAAAAAGAATTGCTGGAGCTGGCTCAAGCATTTAATAATCATTGTATTAGGAAGAAAATACAAGTTAGTGAAAAAATAGCTGGATATATTATGGATTTTACAGCAGGCCACGTTGGATTGATTAGGTGGATATTGAAAGGAATTGATAATCATTTCTCATATCGAGGTACAATATACGAAGTTACAACTGATTCTCAAATAATGCGATATTTAAAATCATCAGAGTTTATTGAACAAATTAAATCACATCGAGGAGCTGCACCACTATACAAGTTTACTAAAGAACAAGGTGAGATAATTGACAAATTGTTGCTAAAAGATGAAATATATGTGTCGGCTTCAGGTCCTGATGATGTGATGACATCGTTACTTAAAACTGGTGTGATTTTCTATCTGGATGATAAAGGTCCCGAGTTCAGGCTGAGGGAGGGCAGAGTTGGGTTTATCTCGCCCGTGAACAAATTATTGTCATTTTTTCAAAGATGTGTCTCGATGAAAGAACCACTGAAAGATGGTTTTGGCTTACAGGAGTTGATCAAGGAAGCTTTGTCTAGGATAAATTCAAAAGCGTTAACACATAATCTTGGCCGGTCAAAGGATGGTATGAGGTTGCTGGAGCGGGTATGGCAGATGGAGTTTTATAGAGCAATCTATAGCTGCTTACCTGACGAAATGCACATATCACCGGATGTGGGACGTATATTTTCAACAGACGGAGTTGTTGATTTCTACATCTCTGAGCCACAATGGGCAATTGAATTGCTCATTGATGGAATTGATATGAAAAGGCACCATGAACGTTTTCAGGATGGTATGTGTGAACACGTGGTATGGAGATGTAAGAAAATATAATATATAATTAAGTAATCTATGTATCTTTTTTTCTATTTATTTATCTATTTAGGTGGAAGATACTCACTAATACCGATCAAATCATATCTAATTCTTGACATCCGAGAGACTAGAACAGTACAAAAATCTTACCCCAACACGTGGCACATCACACCCAACTCTGACTTTTCAATTTTCAACGTGTTGGCTGGTACCAATATTTTTGACATTCCAATCCGTAAAGTGTATCCTAGTCTTCTCATTTCTAAAAATTTGTCACGAGTAACTAAACAAGAGTGTCGAGCGTTGGAATACGAGATGTCTAAAATACTTAAAAGAAAAAGACACGAAGGGGACATTAATGGTATTAGTAATGGAAATTGTGATTATAACAACATTAACAGTGACAGCAATAATAGCAATATCATTATTGATAATATTATTGACAGTAGCAGCAGTAACAACAGCATTAACAACAACAACAATGACAATAATATTGTTATTACTAATAGCAGTAACAAAACCATCAATAGTAGTAATTATAATGAAATTGAGAAGAAAAAAAATCGTAAAGAGGTTATTGAGAGTTTAGAGAAATTGATTGATTTCTTGACTAGACGAGAAAAATATCTAAGAGAGAGGGGCACGATTAATGAGGCAAATGATGTTCAGAGACAACTGGATAGAGCTGCACATGATTTGACACATGTTTTATATGAGGCAGTCGGACAAGGATTTGGAATTAATGGTGATTTGTTATTGGAAAGATATTATCGTAGTATCATTAATAACGATATTAATAACAATAGTAGCACCTGTAATGGGAATAGTGATGTTTGTGATATTGTTGTAAATGAAGACAACTATGTTGGTGTTAATAATGGTGCTAATAATAGTAGTGATTCATCGTCAATTCTTAATATTGATGATTCGGATGATTTAAATTTAGACAATTTCAAATAATGGTTATCTTAATCAGATTCTATATTAATACAATCTCACCACAATAATTTCTTGTAAATTATTACTACAGTATAAATTTCTATCAAGTCTACCCGAGTAATTTTTTATTTATTTTTTTTAGAGAATTGAAAAAAGTAGACAAAAATTTTCATTTTATTTTGCAATCAAAAATTATGTCCAATCACGTCTTCTGTGATATTAATCTCCATCATTATTATTACTGTACTATATACTAATTTCTACGAATGTTAATAATATTTATTGTATATGGCTTGGGATTTTATATCAATTAAAGATGGAAAAATCGCAAATTATTTTCATATACCGTAATTAGTTGAGGAACTGTCTTTAATAGCAATGGGAAGAATGTCAGCAAAGAACTGTGTCGCACGAATAGAAAATTAAACTGTATTAATAGTATATTTAGAGAGAAGGATTTGGCGGATTTGTTTATATTATGAGCTAACCCTGGGGAGAGAAGATTTGGTAGAAATGTCAAAAAAAAAAATTTTTTTTTAAAGAAAAATGAGATTAAGAATATCATCAGCACTAAATGGAATATATAAATGTATTTATTTATTTGACTGCTAGCTATTCAAATAAACATTGTTTTTCTAATTGTTCAAATCTATTAGGTGCAATGGGTGAAATGGGTGATAACGGATATGTTATAGGAAGATATTTATTATCATTATCAATTTCCATTGAGCCATAATTAATCCTGGTTTTATCATCATCTATATTTGGGTAGTCTGAAATATCCAATTCAACAGTTGTAAGATAAAGATTTTTCAATTTATCCTTGATTAATTTAATAGCCTCTTCATACTACATATATAGATATGAAAAGAATAAATAAATTTAATTATATAAGCAAAAAAAATTATCATGCTAAACAACCAACCTTTACAAAGTGCATTTGAACTTCCAAGAATTTTGATTTTCTTTGATCTTCCAATGCCACGACTTCAGAAGGATTAATAGATTTTGATGGTGCCCATATCATAGAACGTAGTAATGGCCAGAGTCTTTCTTTTTCCATTAATGAGATAGATCTATTGATAAGACTTGGATATAATTGTATCAATGTGCTTATTTTCAAATTTAAGATTAATTCTACTTGTAAATCTACAACAAATAATGTTCCAGATGGAGAGATGATGGGTGTAGCAAGTGGATATCCTGGAGTACTAGTGTTCAGTTGAACTGTATATAATGGTCCTGAATATTTATCTTTCAAATATTCTGGTGTAACTTGAAGCTCTAGATCTAATGATGTTTGATTGTTATCTATTAATACTCCTTTCACTTCTAATTCAAGCATTTCTTCATGAGGCTCAATTATGTTTTTTTTTGTGATTTCATCATCATCATTATTATTGTTAATAATAGGATACAAATAATCTTCAGGATTTAAATGAAGAGTTTTGCATAGTAATTCAACAATGTCTTTTCTACACTTAGCTAAATCTAAAGGTACCCTATCCTCGATATTTTTTTCACCAGGTTTAGCATTGTTAAATAAAAGAACTTCCACAACACCAGTATGACCATTCTTAACTGCATCATGAAGTGGTGTATTGAATTTGTTATCAGTGGCATTTATATTTGCTCCCATTGCAACTAATATATTTACAATTTCATAACGACCTTCATATGCAGATTCATGTAATGGTGTACGTCCATGATTATCAGTAATGTTGATTTTGGCCCCTGCTTCAATCAAATTTCCTACCATTTCTATGTTACCTTTCTTGGCATGAATATGCAACTGACTTCTTCCAGACAAATCTCTACTTTTAAGATCCATTCTTAAAATATCATTATTAGAAAATTTTGATCTTACACCTCTATTTTTATTCTTCTTGATAATAACATTGTTGTTGCTAATTTTATTATTGCCATTACTATTATTATTTCTAGTAATACTGTTGGAGCTCGCAATTGGTGATTTTTTTTTGAATAGATTTCTTCTGGTTTTCTGATTTATCAAATGAATTTTTTTTATTTGCAAAACCTTTTGGTTTAAACTTAGGATCACTATTTACTTCTAAAATTGTAGGCTTTTTGGTTTGAACATCATCTAAATATCACAATATGACAATAAACATTAATTAATATTTAGTAAATATACATATAAACATAGATAAGCATTTATGTATTTGTATAAATATTACCTTCATTACTACTTCCAATTGCACCATCACTTTTTAATAACAATGCATTTGATGGTCTTTTATCTGAATATAAAAGGTTTGATTTTTTAACAGGTGTTTTAACAACTTCCACAAATGTCCCCAATAATTTAACAATATTTTTATTGGATGTGTAATCTACAGGTCTTTTTTCATTTACATTAGTTTTTTCAGGATCAGCTCCATACTCTAACAAAACTCTAATGATATCTTCATGGCCTTCAGCACATGCGTCATGAAGTGGGGTGTCCAATTCATCATATGAAATGGCATTAACTTCTGCTCCATTTTCTAATAGAAAACACACAATGTCTAAATATCCATGATATGCAGCTTCATGAAGTGAACTCCACCCTGCATTATCACATGCATTAATGTCAGATCCTTTATCTATCAGATATTTAACTCTATCTAATTTGCCTTCTTGACATGCTCTATGTAAATTAGTTTGACCAGCTCTATCTCTAGTAAAAATATCATTCTTATCTATTTCATTTACTTTATAAATAAATCTTTGTTTATTACTATTAGAAATATTGTCTGTACTTTGAAATCTTAAAGATTTATTGTTTGTTTGTTTCTTTTTATTATTAGGTGATCTAGACAATTTTCTAGTTTTTGTCACTTTATCTTTGTTATTATCATTATTTTTCTTTTGTTTTATACCATCATCATTGCCAATATTAGACTTTGATATTAATTGTTTTTTTGAAGGTGGCATTCTTTTAGTTTCTGATTTTGTATTAACAGTAATAGAAATATTACACTCACTATGATTAGTATTATAACCATTATCACTACTGCTGTTACTACCACTATTAATACTATAATCATCATTGTTATCAATAGAATTAATTATATCCATATTTGAATTTTCTATAGTACAGTCCATGGATTTTGATACAGGTAATTCATCATCATAATTATTAAAAGTTTCTCCTAATGAGGAATTAGATCTCATACGTTTAATACCATAATTTACAATATTATTATTATTATAAATTAGAAAATCAGTGTGTTCTGCTTCTGATTCATCACCTCTGACTGTTGCACAATCATCATCTGAATTAAAATCCTTATTCTCATATACTCCCATTTCTCTAATCGTCTTTTTACAAGTTTTAATTTACAAATTTACAAAGTGTTAAATCTCTTTTAATGAAAAAAAATTTCCGTTTTTTTTTAAAATTAATTATCCTATATTTTAAAAAAATTCTTGCTTATTTATTTTCAAATATATATAATTGATTCTATTTATTTATTTTTATTTATCTATCTATTTTTTTTTTAAAAAAGAGATTTAAAAAAAAAATTTTTTTTAAAAAAGCTCTTAATATATACCAGTTATTTTATTATTTACAAGTATTACGTTATACAAACTTAAACTTGTTGTACGTTGTATTAGATTGGCTAATATAATAATAATAATAATAAAGTTCTAGACTGAGTTGTAAGTAATTTGGGAAAGCTCTAATTATAAGATAATAATAATAATAAGGCGCGGAAAAATTAAAAATTATTTTACCATTACCGGAGAATAAAGTAGCTTTTGTCCTGGACCAAATTTTTTAAAGATGTTTTTTATATAATTATTTTATGAATCGAAATAATATTTATTAGTTTTTTAATATAAAATCCAGTTTCATTCTTTATAATAATGAAACTTTCTTGTCATATAAGTATTTTTGTGACAGTAATAGAGAAAGACATTCATTTAGAGAGTAATAAAAGAAAAGTTTGTCATGATGGGAAAGTGAAATGTAGTCTTTTTTCTCAGAATAATATATTTTTTATGATTATAGTCGTTCGTATAAAGAATAAAGAATAAAAAAATCAAAATTTATTTTGTCACGTGGTTTATTAGTACTTGTACCGTAAAGTCTCGAAAGATAGCACCACCTTTTTACAACTGTATAACAAATTGTTTTAAGTAGGGGCACGATCTTTCGGTAATAACTAAACTCAATTGAAATGTGACATAATCAATTACATATGTGAGTTATATCAATATTAATTATAATTACCCCAAACTATTTGCTAAACCAAGACTGTGATATTTTTAGATTTAAAAGTTTTTTAATTGATAAAAGATATTATTTAGTGATGGTGGCCGAAACTATTTTTGAAAAATAAATCAATCTACTATATTTTAAAAAATTTCGCCAATTCAGCCATTAAAATTAATTTAAGCCAATTAATTTCGGCAATTTCGGCCCATTAAGTAAGGTAGTTTCGGCCACCATCACTAATATGATAATGATTCTATTCAAATCAGTTCGGATTGTAACAGTTCGAATTAAATTATATATCCGAATCAGTTCGAACCAAAACACAATTCGAGATCGTCTCGTTTCGTCTCGTTTCGGTTCGAATTTCATTGATTCCTTCGGAGCCTTATCGAAAATAACCATACAGTCGAACCCTCGTTTCAACGGATTTTATATTTAAATCGCGTTTCAACGGACAACAAATTTTTTGGTATGATTTTTCTAGATATCAAACTTATCTGTAAAATCTTTTTAAATTGTATATAAAAATTAAAAATAGTTTAATAATGGAGCAAGGAAATTATGATATAAAAAATCTTCATCTCTAATAAACTTCATAGAAGTAAAGTTTATTTGATAAATTTAATAGTAAAAAGGTTTCCTTTAATGAAATGAAAGTTACTGGTTAAATTTCCTTGTTTCAAGTAAATGTCCATGTATAATGACCTTTTACATATAATTACCATGATTTATTTAAAATAGATTTGTATAAGTAAACCAGTTTTTCAATAAACAAAAAAAAATATTGGTTTTTAAAATTATAGTCACACAATATAAGTTTGAGATCGTCACAATGCGATAAATGTGATAAATAGAGCTTCCATTATGCTCAAACAAATGGGAGATTTTAATAATCAATCACATTAGAAATTTTGATCCCTGAAATCATCGGTAATACCAATGTTCATATTGTCTGGTTTTGTTGCAGCATGCCCCCATTTTATGTATTGTATTATATATTATATTAAAGATTATTTATTTGCAATATGTGTATTAATAAAATTAATAAAATGATATCTATTAAATAATATATCTTGAAAGAGTTTGGTGTCCTATTCTAAGTTCACCAAAATATAAATTTCAAAATATTATCATTACTATTATAATTCTTGTTTTTGTTGTTTTTGTTGTTGTTATTTTTTTAAAAAAAAACTCTCCTCCTTGTCAGTAGTAATAGTGATGATTATTATTCATTAGGTAAGATTGATCTTGTGTAATACTGAGGATGGATTACAGTGGTAAACTTATATCAGTACTAAATGAGTCATCATCATTTTGTTGTTTCTTTTCATTATTAGTAAATATGACAATATCATCATCATGTCCATTATCTTTATGATTTTGTAGATTACGACAAATGGGTTGGTGTGAAAATTTAGTTGGTTGTGCTTTATTTATAATGCCAAGGTTTTTCTTTGCAGTAAAAGGTAAACTAGCCACAAATCTAAAAAAAATCACTTCATCATTTTTAGTAAAGAACAAAAAAAACATATATATTTTAATTTTTTTTACACACACACACACACATGTACACACAAACACATACATACTCATCAACTCTTGAACTGAATCTGGATTTATAAACTTCAAAGGATTTTTTTGAAGCAGTCCTAACTTCTAATGTTGAGTCTATGACACCTAAATGAATAATCCATTCTAGATCAACAATATGATTTTCTAGACCTGTAACATCCTCCTCTAAAATTGTCAATGTCAATTTTGCCACATTTGTTTTCAATAATTTACTTTGGCTTTGCATTGCTTCTCTAAATTTTGGTATGAGGCTTGATAATTTGGATACTTTAATTATTGTTTCCGAACATTTATATGCTCTTGTACCAAACAATTTGTTTGTACGATTACAAAGTTTGAGAATGTTGGGTACAAATAACTTGGCCAATGAATCAAAATTTGGACCAAGTGATTTAGAAATTTCTTCAACCAATTCAGTTGCTGTTCCTGACAATTTAGTTCTTTCTGTAAGAATCTTATTTTTAAAAATAAATAAATGAATTCATCAATTAATCATTCATTCAATCAATCAGTTAAAAATAATTTATTCACATACCGAATTTTGAATTGGTTGTTTTAAAGACTTGATCCCAGAAATATATTCTGTTTCATAATGAGAAACTCATTCACGAGTTTTTTCAATTAGTCGTATCAATGCTCTCTCAAAATTTCTCCAATTAGTTTCAGATTCTTTTTCTTGAAATAATTCCAAAATGTTTTTTACTTCAAGTTCAAATTGTAAGGCCTTATTATTATTCTTTTTCATGTAAAAAAAAATATAAATATAAATACTTTACAAAAAACAAGACAATCATATAATCATATATAATATATATTGAAATAAACAAATATATTAGTCTTTGATTATTACTTTTATATCTTCTGCCAAAATATCTGTCATTTTTGATGTTTGTTTAAAATTTAAAATATTAATGTTAATATTATTTATTAATTAATATAAACAAAAGCTATTACTGGCCAATCAATTATGTTTAACCACGTGAGTATTTTTTGATCAAAAATCGACCGTGTGTATAAGATGTAAAGTTCTACTACAATGAATCCACCACCTTATAAAGTAAATGTGATTAGTAAAAAAAATAATGCGTTTGTTTGGGATCCTGAAGGTAACAATTAATTATTTCGAGTTTAATATATTGTTATCATATAATTAAGTTTATTTACAACATATTTTAAAAAGTTGTCCAAATTCTTTGAAAAAATTATAGAATATTAGGATTTTTAGTTGGAAGTTTACCAAGATTGCCTTTACAAAATCAATTCCTAGGTTTACCCTTGAGATTGATGCCTGAAGAGACGACTTTATTATTATCTAAAGGTTTTTTTAAATAAAATTTAAATCAACCAACCATATAAATGTGTATATTGATTTTTTTGTTTTTAATTATAGGAATAATTGTTTTAATAGATGAAACAAAAAGTTATTGTAAGCCTACACCTGAACAAATTGAAGAATTTGAAAATGATAAATTAAAAAATGAAGATCAACAATTACAAAATTATATAAAAAATATTGAAGAGAAAAGAAATAAAATTAAAAATATTATTGATGATAATAATAATGATCATGATGATAATGATGATGATGATGATGATGATGATAATGATGATGACAATAATAACAGCAATAATAAGAGTAATGATGATAATAAAAGTAATAAGGGTGATATTGATGATGATGATGAGGTGGAGATGGAGGTGGAGAAAAAAAATTCAAAAATTAAAGGATTTTATCCAAAAATTAATATTAAAACATCTTCTAAATCATTGAAATGGTATAATGATGATGATGATAAATTTAAAACCTTGGAGTTGGCTAAACAGTCAAAAGTATGGACATGGCCAGAAACACTACAAGAAGAATATAAATATAAAATTTATTGTGATCTGTGGAATAAAGGATATTTTATTTCTAGTGGATTAAAATTTGGTGGTGATTATTTATTATATCTGGTAAGTAAATTATATAATAACATAATAAAATTATTAGTGTCATTATTCATTATTTTTATTTTATTAGGCGACCCATTTAGATTTCACAGTCATTTTATAGCATTAGTGATGGAGACAAATAAATCAATAACACCATTGGATATTATAACATTTGGTAGTTTGGCAACTAATGTAAAAAAATCATTTATGGTTTGTGGTTGGGATGAAAAGGAACAAAAATCAATTTATCATTGTATAGAATGGTCAGGATTTGGTTAATATTAATATATGGGACAATCTCCACTTGCATGTTATCAATAATAAAATATTTATTTCATTGATTAAATTTGAAATGAGTCATACATAGTTTTTATTCTTTGTAATATAAAATTATCAAAAAAAAAAAATATAAAAAATGGGACTTTATTGCTAATATTGTGAGTAGCAACAAAAGCAATAATGATATTTCAGAAATTTCAATTAAATTGTGTTGAATTATTTGAACATTGGCAAAAACAGAAAATTGACAATCCTGCAAAAACAAAACTATTTCACTAGTTGTTAATTATTTTACAGGTCTTTG